ACTTTTCCGCGCGGAGCCGTGCGGACCTCGCGGACGCGTCAAGCATAAACCAACCTTTAGTGTGGAAGACCTGATGCTGCCGGGGCAGATGGCTCCTCTGATGGTGTTTCCTTGCCTTACCTTACTTGGCTCATCTGGACTCAGCCAAATATAATTTTTACTTGTGTGTGTGCATGTGTGTGTGTGTGCGTGTGTGCGTGTGCACGTGCGTGTGCTTGCATATGTCTGTTAATGTTTTTAACCTGTTATGGGAATTTGGGGTCATTTTGTAAAGCACTTTGTTTGAAAAGGGCTTTATAAATAAATCTGATCTTTAAAATGACTCAAATTATTAATTCCAAAACAAAAACAAAAAGAAATCAGGACAAAAGAGAAGAACGAACGAATGACTAACATCACCGTTCTGAACCAATATTTATATTTTAAATATGGGCTTAACCATCTATTTTTAACTGATGTAACATGTTGCTTGGGAACGTTCTAAAATGCCTCCGTAGATGAAGCAGCTCAGCTGCATGCACAGAGATGTCCTGCATCAGCTGATTTATGCTAGCAGAGCAGCTAACGCATAAATCACAGGATAACCGGAGCGACTGGAGCTAACGGGTCCTGTCACAGGGCGCAGGGAAGCATCAAATTCAGTGGTTAAAAGCTTGAGAAACGTTTCGTGACCACGATCCCATTAGAACCAGTTCATGTTCCACTTTATTCCCACAAACTCCAGCAGCAGGTTTGTAACTCAGTCCCTTGTTGAGCTGCTGACGTTTAAACATCAGAAATGGGAGAAACTGATGTCCAATCAGCTGTGAGTGCGGGTTGCCACGGCGATAAATGCAGCATCCCTTCAGGCTCAGAGTTTTAGTGAAACTGTAAGTGACACGAAGACCTGCAGAACACGGATCCGATCACAGACCAACAACAACGTAACCTGATACTTCACATTTACAGATTTAGTCTCAGATCGCAGCTTGTTGCAACCTTCAGCAGCATTTATGTTAAGTCAGAGTGAATTATTCATCTGCAGAAGACAAAAGAACCAAATTCTACACCGAAGCGCCTGCAGACGAGATGGTTGACACTTCTGAGTTCCTGCACATCCCCGGATTTCTACAGAGTCCCAAAAATAACAAAAACAAAATCCATGCCAACCACAGCTCTGACCGCTGGGACAGAAAACACGTGCGTCAGCTGGAAAGTTCTTCTCTGAGGCTGTAAAACTGGCTAAACTACAACTATTCCTTTTTTCTGGCTTCATAAACAACAATAATGAATTACTTCCACACAACTTTTGCTTTTAGGTGAGCAGCACAAAGACAACGCTGCGTTAAATTAGCATTCTGCTTCTGTTTCAACAAATAAATACATTTTAGGGTCAGTGGGGCTTTGCAAACGTGGACCTGGGAAAGCTTCACGCCAGCAGAAATGCGAGTAAATTTAAAGAAATGAAATAAAGACGGTGAAGGACGAGCTGTGTGGGATGTCCAACCTGTGGAGTTTTAGGTAAAATGTGCAAAAAGGCGGAGCTCAGACTGGATGAGAGTTTGATATTTTTGTTTTTTTCTTCCGATTTTAGCCACCTGGTTGATCTGATTCTGGTGCAGAAACACTAATGTGGGTTTTTGTTCATCTTCTCACAAACTCATCAAGTGGCTTTACAGAACAAAGCCATTTTAGTTTTAATTAACCCAACTTTGCTTAGACCCTTAGTGCTGTATTCTCAGTGCGGTGCTTGATGACATTACTGAATAAATACCAGAGAACCTGCTAGTTGTGGCCAAGCTAATTCGTTCCATTGGACTCAGTAGACTTGTTTTTGCTCTGGAGTCATCACAGTAACGCTGATGGCTGAACTCAGGTCTGATGTTGCTGGAAATAAAAGCCGCCAGTCCCTCACAGTGAGCTGTAGCCAGCCGGGTGTTTGCAGCTGATCCTGCAATGCACTAGCCTAGTGAACTAGACCACATTCTTGCTTTGCCAGGTTTGGTCTAGCAACGCTCCACTGGAACCTCCGCAGCCCCAGACAGCATTCTGGGTGGCCAATCACAGCTCTCTAGACGGGTTTCAAACACATAAAGAGCTGTGATTGGTCCATAATGGTGGGCCAATCATAGTGCTCTATCTGCTTAGTGAACAAATCACAGAGCTTCATCCACTTTTTGGGCCAATCAGGGCACTCTATATGCCTGGTGGGTGGGATGATGCAACAGAGTGAAACAAGATGGCGACAGCTCGTTTGAAACGGCTTTTAGATCCATTTTGGACTATTAGAACTTGGGCTTCATCAGAATAAGGAGCAGATAGATGCATTTAAGTGCTTTATTTTAGAAAAAATGATGTTTTCTCCTTCTTCAACTGCGGACCGCCTCGTTTACTGATAGCTGTTGCGGTGAGTATGTCACATTCATTGTCCAGTAGCATGCGGAGATCATTTGAAAGACAACGGTAGAACCCGCCCCACAACCGAGAGCCGTCAATGGAGCGTCGCCAGACTAACTAATACATTTATTTAGTCTGGCTTGCCAGGCTAGCAATGCACCTTTATAATGATGAACCAGCACCGCTGGTTATCACCCTTAACTGTCTGGTGTCTGGTGGACAAGTCCTGAAGGAGAGGCTTGGGTGCAAATCCTTCACATTTGCTTGAGCTGCTAAGAGTATTTTCTAATTTTAAGGTATTTTAGCAGAAATTTGCTCTTGATGGTTCAGGACGTCGCCTTGAACCTGTTTTTTTTTACGGAGAAGAAAGCGGCGCTAGGTCTGACGAAGGGTGGTCAGATCTGTCAGCAAGGTAAATAAACCTTTCCTGTGTTAAAAAAAGAATCTAAAAATAAAACGAAGCTAAAAGCCAGCGGACCACTGCCAGATCAGGAGAATGGCCCGGCTGGTTACCAAATGTTTTTCCCACCTGGAAAACTCTTGGAATGCCGACAGACTAAAGTTCACTTGGGGTGGAATTTCCCTTAAAACGCAAAAATATTGAAATTATTTTTTTTAAAGAAAGGAAGGCTATTTTAAAAAGTCATGATAAAGATAGGTAGCGGTAGGCATGGGTACCGACCGAGCACCGATTCACGTCATTTCAAACGGTGCCTCGTTTCGGTACCCGTCCTTCATAACGAGAACTTGCCTAGACAGCTGCGCATGCGCAAGAGCGTCATGTCGTCGGTCGCTGCGAGCGAGTTGTAAACAGAGCAGCATGGTAGAAAGAACGCACGCTAAAGCTTGGGTCCACTTCACTAAATGTGATGGGTAACTGGGTGATGATGAAACCAGCGACAACGATCTAAGTGAGACTTCCTCATCTTAATCTGCTCTGGTAGGTAAATAAAATGTTTAAGATAACGTTAACTTGATTTGTTAGCTTCCGTTTTGCTAATAGTGCGTTCGCTTTCTCCTCGGAACTCCGAATTTCCAACTGGAATAACATGGACGCGCTCTTAAGTTTGGCTTCACTTTACAACGATCGAAGTGTGAGGCATCATCGTTTTAATCTGCTCCAGCCTTTAAATAAACTGTTTAAGATAACGTTAGCTTGATATGTTAGCTTCCATTGCCACCGTTGTTATCAGCTAATGGTGCGTTCGCTTTCTCCTCGGAAATTCTAACGTCCCAGTAGGAAAAATCAAATGAAAAAAGACGGCAAAAGGAATGAAGATACACAGTAAATTTAGTTCACAGTAAAGATGTTTGCTTCAGTTTAATTATCAGCTTATAAAACTACAAGGACGATGTTAAAATACAAACAGTTGTATGTTATTTATCGTGATATTTATCAAATATGGTTATATATTGAGAAAAATATATATTTAATTATAAAAGAGAATTAAAATAATAAACACTCAAAAGTATCAAAAATTGGTACCGTTAAGTACCGGTATCGATTCCTAGGTACCGGGAATTAGTACCGAATCGATTCAAATGTCAAAGGTACCCATCCCTAGGTAGCGGTAACAATAAATAAATAAATAAATAAACGTGTAACAAGCAGGGAATAAAACACCTTTTATCTAGAATCCTCTGGTTCCTGCTCTGCTTACGTTGAGCTAAAAATAAACGAGGAGGGGGTGAATGAACACCCAGGGAGAGGCGGAGTTTTTAAATGTTGATTTTACCGTTCACCTCAAAGTGACTTTGCCCATTAGGATGAACCTGCGGCGCCGTTCCTCAAGGCCTGGTGAGGATGAGGAGGCTCACAGCAGATATGATCTCCAGTCATCACTGACACTTTAAAAGCTTCCCGACATCCACATGAAAAAGGCAAGCGTCCCAGCTATCACCTTTTAAAGAGTGAAGTCCCATGCAGCGCTGCAGCATGCTCGCTGCAGTAACTGAAGCTGGCAGCGTTCATCTGAGGGTCTCCTCTAATGCAATTAACCCAGTTTTTCAGTGAGGCAGAGATCTACAGGGAAGCAATTAAAATCCTAATTCTTCTCAGTGTGCAGACTTCACAGGGAAAACGATCCTTGGACATTACAGAGTTTGTTCTGGAGAGTTGATAATTGATTTTATTTGAATATTTGCGATGTAATTATGTGATTTATTGCAGAGCAAAGGAAACATTCAAAATTAAATACAACATTTTTTTACTAAAATAAAAATATGTTTCACTAAGGAGTAAAAAGAAGCACAGTTGCTATAGATAATAAATTACACTATTGGTCTGTGCTAATTCTAAATAGAAACTAGCTACTTTCAGCATTTCATGAAGGAGTGCGCATCCCTTTTCTCCTTACGTGAGAATTTTAATCTACAAGGTCAGGACTTAAAGATACACTTTAGCATTTTTGCTAAAACTTTCTGCTGTTAACAGTTTTCTAAATTTCTTTTATTTCCCTGCAGCGCATCTTTTAAAAAAGGACAGAGAAGGCAACAAAAACCTAACCTATGCAACAACAAACTCATGGAGATTTCCTAAGACCTTATAATGTTATTCAAATAGCCAAGAGAAAGGAAGACTAGCTCTCTGTTTTTCAACGCAAAGCCGGACTTTTTTCACTGACCTCGACTTCCTCCCGTGCCTCTCGTCGGCAAAAAGGAAACATCCAAAACAAAACATTCAAAACACAATTCAAAGTCGGCCTCCTCCCACTGGTGACTGCTGTGCCTTGAGGAAGAAGTCCTCCTCCTCATCTGTTCACACCTGAGGGAAAAAGGGGAAAGTAAAACAAAAATGTATAAAACACACATCACAGTCGTTTCGCAAACCTGACGTGAAGACTGCTGTTTACTATCTCAGGTAAACCTGTGCTAGTTTTCTCATGTCACCCATATTTCGTTTCATTTTTATTTGTTTCATCTTTAGCAAGTTTATCCAGCGAGTTTCAGCAGAGAAAAGCTAAAAAGGACCGAGTACACATCCTTGAGGTACTCCTGAGCTCTGCAAATGCGGTTTCTGCTTTGCTGTTTACTGCTTCACATTGAAACGTGTCTAACATACCAACCATAATTTCATTATTTTTTCCTATAAATGCATAAAGTTATATTAAGAATATCTCATTTTATCCTCTCTCTAAATTGTCTTTTCTTGCATGGAAAGATGATCAATTCTGATGCAAATGCATAAATGATCGGCTCGGACACCCCGGCTCATTGCGACCGTTATATAACAACAACACTTTCTCTACTTATTCTTTTTTCTTACTTCTCTGGATAAATGCCAGCTCCATTTATGTTTACTAAACAACAACATCCTAATTCTGTCAAATGTGTACAAAGACAATTAAATTCACGTTCATTTGTTGCAGATGTGTGTATTCATGGAACAACATTAGATTTAAGTGTACTTAGAAACTAAAACTGATTGAATTAATCAGATTATTTAGAGTTCTTTTATATTTAACATCAACTGAGTGGTAATATTTTTTAATTGAAGCCCTTTTCATCCACATAGTTTCCATTTTCATTCAAAAACACTGAGTTACATTAATTTACAGCTCAGTCAGATTAACTAGCATGAGATGTTCTGGAGCATCTTTAGAAGTTGGAATAACAAAAATCTCAACCTGTGGTAATTTGAACTATTCGAATAGTTCTAATTAGATATATCTAAATCCATATTAATGCCAAACACTGCCACTAATTAGTTACTTTATAGTTTCATTGCTATTAACTAGACATTTTTACCTACACATTCCACTCGGCAGCTTCCATTTATGATCCTGACCTTCCACTGTAACTCTAACCACTCCAACTCCGTCACACTGATGCTGATTAAAAAGAAAAACTACTCATGTGCCGTGTCTCTGTGCTGCCCTGAGCGTTCACAGCTCACAGACGACGAGAGGCTAACAAGGAGTGTTACATGTTCCAGTGCGTCACTGATTAACACAAGTCTGCATTTATTAGTCCCGTAATGAATCATGTGGAGAGCTCTGCAGTGTGGATAGTTTTAAAATGTGTCATGCATCAGATTCCTCTGAGTTCAGGCTGCAAGCAGCATCTCTAGTAGATGAGTTGGCGTCAAACAACATTGTTAAAAATCCTCAAATTCACTCGTTTTTACAACACATTCGCAGTGGTCTCGAGTATAAATGAAGATCTGATGAGATGGTCTCCGTGGGAGAAACAGCTCTCGCGCTCTTTTTTCAGTAAGCCTGAGCTTCAGACGACAGGATTTGGACTCTTACTTCCTGATATGTGGACATCTCTCCTCTGATTGGCTAACAGCAACACGACTCTACCACAGACTCTGGTTGCTCTGCAACGTTGATGATTTATCTCCACAAATAACACAAGCCTGGAGGAGTTCTGTTGTGTGGTGGAGTTGCTAATGCTAATGGTTTGCTTCTACTAGCTGAGACGTCCTCTGCTGTTTCCTGGACGCTAAACCAACAACAGACTTCCCCATCGTGAGCCAAGATGAATGAGTCCATGAATGTTAGTGACAGTGTGACGTGGATCTGTCAGGCTTAGAAGCTAATGCAGGAAATAGGCGTAGATTATATTTAATAAACAAATAAAAAAGGTTTCTCAGTGAATTTGGTCTTTAAATCAACCAGTCATCAGATATTTATTTTAATTTAAAGACTAAAACCTGATGCTTTATTTAAAAATAAACATGTTTCTTATGAAGACAATGCACTACTGTTGTTCCTCTACCGCCCTAAAGTGACCAAATATTAAAACCATGCTAACTCACATCATAATAAGACTCAAAGGAGTGTTAAACATTTAAAATGATGTTAAAGTCCTTGCCTCAGCAACTGGATCAAAGCAAAACAACTGAAGAAATACAGATTTACAAATTCCTGCAGGAACTTTAAATCCCTCTAAAACCTGTGATGTTGAAACTGAACCGTCCGGATTTTTATGCAAGGCGACAGACTGCGAGTCCTTTTGCATCGGGGACTTAAAATGCATTCCACCTCCTAGATTTCTGCCGGGAACCCGGCCGCAGTGGAAAATAAACACATCAGCTTGAGTTCGCCCCCTGCTCCGTCAGATATTCTCCACTCGAGTGCCGGCCCCTCTGCTGCCTCACTGGAGCCGCCTCTCAGAATTTCTTTGAGGACATCTTTCTGCAACTTCAACTGGGAAAAGCAAAAGGCTGGCAGAAATGTCTGATGCATTCCAGGAATTCCTCACAGTTTCCAGGAGTTTACTCCCATGGAAGATTCCCCGTAGTTCATGTTTTCTGGGAAAATCATAAAAGTTTAACGACAAAGAAAACCAGATAAAAAACATGGAATCTGTAGAATGATCTAAAGTCAAAGAAAAGTATGTGTTATTATTTATATACGTGTTTGCAGCATGTTGCATAGTATGTGTTTCTAAAATGTAAAATAAATATGATTTTTTTTCATTTGTTAATTTCTGTTTAATATGATGGCTGATTTTGTGAATAATCTGCACCAGATCTAGACAGATTAACACTGATAACCTTATAATGACTGTTAGGATTTATAAAGTAAGATCTTTGATTTGGATAAAAAAAAAACAACAACTAGCCTTTGAAATACCATTGAAGTACCAATGATGAGCCTTCTTTACATTTTCTCATCACTCCACCCAAAAGTCCTGCTGCTGTGCTAAGAGGTGAAACATAAAAGTGCCTGTACTGTGTACAGGTGTGTACCGAAGCACTGGATATCCGACATCTTTGTTTTCCTATATTAGGGGATTCCCAGATTTTTCAGTGTCTAATTTACAAAATACTGGCAAAAATTTGACACCCAAAAATTTACAGAAGGTTACAATTACAGCTAATAAATCTAATACTAGATTAGACAACATATTATACTATATTATACTGTTAGATTACCTTTATTAGGATGTGGGAAACTTGTTATGTCACGGTAGACGATGGACCGAACAAAAGGTGAGAGCAGCAAAAAGCAACAACACTAAAATATCAAAACTACACCAACAATAAAGTAGAAACCCACACGTCCATCGGAGGGGGGGGGGGGGGGGGCATGGCAGCTGTAGCTAGAATAAGATCAGCACCAGGCTGTGAATGGATGAATGACTGTTGGAAAGCACCTGGAGGGTTTAGTAGGCAGTATATACAGGCCGTTTACCATCTAACACCGTAAGATCTAGATACTTAAATATATAAATACCAAGATGTATGAGAGAGAGAGAGAGAGAGAGAGAGAGAGAGAGAGAGAGAGAGAGAGAGAGACTTGACTTTTAAATTATTTATTTTTCTTTACAAATCAACAATCAGCGTTAATGACTGTAACTTGTTTTCTACTAATGAGACCAGGGAAACTGATAAACCCAGTTTAGAAGTTTATCTTTAGGGAGCCCTGTCCATCCAGCAGACAGAGCACCTGCCCGATCGCCCACACCGCTCTACACGAGTCCAGGTTCCCAGTAAGTCTGATCTTTAAGCGAGCTTCCACCGGGCCCTTCAGGCTCCTCTCAGCATCTGGTTTTAGAGTTTTCTGTCAACATTACATGCGGGGGTCTACAATCCAAACAAAGAAGACTATGGCAGATCTAGAGAAGGACATCAGGGCGCTAGACTACAACTCAACAACAACACACCGTAGACCAAACAAGACAGCAGCTTGGGCATTTCCTGCAAGAGAGAGCCAAAGGGGCCTTGATCCGGGCTCGTCTCACCACAATACAGGACATGGATGCTCCAACATCCTTCTTTAACCTGGAAAAGACTTCAAACCAGAAAAAACAAATGGTTGGCCTTCATCTGGCAGATGGGCAGTTATCCACAGACCCAGTGGAGATGAGGAAGCATGCAGTAGAATTCTATACCAGCCTATTTAAGGCCGCCCAGTGATTCCTATTCATAAGTCCTATTTTATAATCTTCCCTTTCTTCCCCACTTTAGTCCGCCCTAAACTTTCTTTTTAAGCTCAAAACATGTTTTTTTAACGGTAACGTTTCTTTTCATCCAAACGATCCAGGCCCACCTCTTTCTGCAGCGTGGCGGCCGACCTGATCAACTTTACAGCATCAGGAACATATTGCTGTAAGTCCATACGTTTCATCCAGAAACTCACTCATCTCCTCCAGAGAGTACAAGCTCTCCTCCAGCAACTCACTATCTGCTACCGAAGCATTGTCCGAGTCCGAATCACACTCATTACCACATCATTTACAGAATCGCCATGGCAACCAGCAAACAGGCAACCCCGCCCCCTCCGCTTCGCTCTCTGGTTCCACCTGCCTCTGCTCAGGAGCCTGTGCATCCTGACAGTCTAGCTGTCCTCTGTTAGTTACAGGCTGTATTCCTGCCTTTTGGCCTGTTCCTACCTGATCCTCTAGCCCTTCCTCTGGAGAACGCACCTCTAAAGAGGCAGACGCGTCACCAGTCGGCTGTAGGCCTCCATGTCCCGCCTGTTCTGGCTGCTGCTCCACTGGGTCAGAGCCACTACCGGCTTTCGTTCCGTCCAGAACTGAATAACAGCCGGCCATTGTTTCTGTTCCTGCTGCGCCCTCGCTCTCTCTCTGCCAGCCACTGGTCACAGTGTCACTCACCGCGACACCGGGCCCGATCCCCGCTCCCAGTCCTGCTGCATTTTGTTGGTGTCCA